AATATAGATGTGTAAAGCCTCCTTTCGTGTAATCATGAACGGAGGTGTTTGAGAAACAGTAATACTTTAAAAAACTCATTGTGTAAAGTAACAGTTTAGCTTACACACACTGCCAGCTCCCAGGGGAGCAGTGTGAGAGCTGCTACAATCTGCCTCCTGTTACAAGGTCTGCTACTAAGTTATGACCTATCGCCTTGCCATCCTAATCTTTCCACAAACATCTGTAAGGGGAGATTTACATGTCCTCTTGCGCTTTATTGCGACATGTCTTCAGGTTTCCGTTGACTTTGACTGCTTCTATGAAATGTGGCATTTTCATGGTAGTGTGAATGTAAATAATCTATTGTCTACTGTCTGGCATGCATGGCTTTATTTGTACTGATTCACCTTCTGTTGACTTACGTGTCATAATGCAATGTCACAACCACTTGGACACATTATTTTACACAACACAACCTGTCTGACGTCTGCTACCATTTAACTGTAAAGTTGGTTGTTGTTTTAATTAGTTATTAGATTGATAATCTTGGGAATTATGGTAACTTTGGAACCAGCCGGCAACTACATACATGACATAGTCACAGTGAAGTCCTTAGTGAAGGTTGGACTGTGATGCTCACTGAGCTGCATCTGATAACCATCATTAATGGTGCATTTCAAAGGACACAAGCTTGCACATACAGTGACTTCCACTCCTTTCTTTGTAAGGCTGGTCTCTCTTTGTCAGCCATGCATGGAGGTTAAAGACATGTTCACATGCTATCATACAGTATCCAGGTCGGACAAGTATGATAATCTATTCAATATGTAAAATGTTTATTTTGTGGAGGAACCTCATACAAACTGAACCAATATTTACAGAGAATGGTAGCCAAATATTCTGCCTTTTTCCCAGACATTACTTCTCCCTCATTTATCTTCTATTCTCTTGAGCAAAATGTTGACAAGAAAACTAATGCATGTGAAGCCTTAAGGACCCACTATAACATTTCGTCTGGATTATTTTTAACTATTTTAGAAACTTGTTTTAAAAGTTAGTTCCCTGATGTATATAGCTTTTTTTAGAATGCAGTTCAACACAATATGTAGATTTTGCAGCAATATATACTATTATATACTTCTATTGCCACTGCTACTCTGCTACTTATACTAATGCGAAGGCCAAGAAGAGGTAGGAGTATCATAGCGAGTAGGCGAGTTAATCAACTGTATGTGATTCTCTAAACCTTGTACAGTTGATTAACTCTCTTACTCGCCCAAATCCAAAATTCCCAGAGAAGACCACCTTAATTGACCTAATTTTAACTAATGTTCCATATACATTTTCTGCAGTTGGTTTCTTTTGCAATGATCTAAGTGATCATTGTGTAATTGCTGCTGTCAGGAATACTAAGATTGCTACAACAAAACCACGCCTGGTTTACAAGAGAAATCTTAAAAATTTTAAGTATCAAGATTTTTATCAAGATTTGTTCAATTTTAAATGGAACATGATCATGAGTTGAGAACATGAGTTGATGGCTGATGTTGAGTCAGCCTGGTCATTTTTTAAAGATGGTTTTACCAAGATTGTGAATAAGCATGCCCCTTTTAGAAGGTATAGAGTTAAAGGGCAGGACAATCCTTGGTTTTCCCCTGATATTTCTGTTGTCATTCGGGAACGTAATTTAGCTTGGGCAAAGGCGAGGTTGACGGGATTGAGCACTGACTAAGGTTTATAATGAATTGTAATGCCCTGACTCACCACTGTGAGCTTTATGCCCGGGTGGGATGGCCCTCTTTACAAGCCCCTAGACGTACGCACTGGTATACTTTTATATACAAGGCAATTCTCGGGTTGCTCCCACCATACCTCTGTTCTTTTATTTCTTTAAAAAGTGATGGTCATTATTTGTTACGTTCCAAGGTTCGTACTGAGCTAGAGAAGAGGGCATTCGGGTACTCAGCACCAACTGTTTGGAATGTCCTTCAGAATGTTTTAAAACTCAAAGATCTGATCTCTCTGAATGTTTTTAAATCCACATTGAAAAAGCAAGAGATTGATTCATCCAGGTGTTGTTGTTGAGCTGACGTTGTAGTTGTTGATTTTTTTCTGATTTGTATTTATACAAAGTATTTGTACTGTTAGCATTTTTTTAGAGTCATAGACGCACTATGTGTTGTAATATTATCTGTGTGTCTGTGTGTCTGTTTTGTTTTGACTTGTTCTTGTTTGTGTTGCTGTGCTGTCTTGGCCAGGACTCCCTTGAAAAAGATTTTTGGTTTTTTTTAATCTCAATGGGACCTTTCCTGGTTAAATAAAGGTTTAATAATAATACATATGCCGATCAATTTTTTCAATTCATCAAATTGTTGTTTGATCTATAAAATGTCAGAACGTAGTGAAAAATGTTTTTTTAGGCCAACAGTCCAGATTCAAATAATTTAGCATACTATAAGACATAAAAGGCAGCTAATGCTCAGATTTGGGAAGCTGGAAGCTGGACTACTTGAAAATATGCCTTTGATCACCTACATGCTGCTTATCACCCCTATCCTACTGGCCCATGCCAATCTTTTGTATAGACTGTATTAGTATGTTGGCCCACACACACGTACAATTTAGCTCCAAGGGTACAAAGTTGTATGCCAGATATGTAAGGTACTAGTAATTTGCAGTTAATGGCCAAAAACACAAAAAAACACTCGAGTGGTCCTTTAATCAAAGACTGAGATCAGAAACATAACTCGGAGGAGAACAGAGGAAAACAAATGGCTCAGGTAATATAATCACATACAAATTCAGGTCTTGAGCTCACCACAGATGCGCCTCGGCCCGTCTGCACTCCTCCCAGCCACGGCATGTTGATGGGTGTGCCGGGGCTACTGTGAGTGTACGGCGTGGTGCCGTGGAGGGCGGCAAAGTCATCGCGTGCATGGACCACCAGGAAGTCATCACCACCAACACTACACAGACAGAATAATAATTAATTAATGGTATACAATATTTTCATGATAGGAACATAATTTAATGTTGAAGGGATATAGTTGCACTTGACACTTTGAAGCACACATTGAAACACTTTTTTTTTGGTAAATTTGGTCGGATCGGTATTCCTTAGAAGAGATTTCAGCCAAAATGATGTTTGTTCATTAGAAAACAGTTTTAAGTTAGCACTGTGTGCATTTATAAAGAAGCTATAACAGCAGGGCAATGATAACTCATACTGACAGAAACCCTCTCCTGTTAGTATCTCATAAGGTAGCAGTCACACACAAACACATATAGATTATGCTTCACATCCAAATATGGACACAGAATGTAGATGCATGTACACCACCTACACAATCATTACTGAACCAATCACATTGTCCCACGCCCACACTCTATTTAGCTCTATTGGTATGAGGGTGAAAAGGTGACTTGATGTTACTCTGGATGAACTCTCAAAGCTGTTGGCCTCAACCCGTACAGTAGGCACACACAGACACACAAACGCACACATAGATTACTCTCTTACCCTTTGGTTTCAGCCTCATCGTCATCAATCCATGTCAAGATCTGTGTGGCCAAGATGGATGACACATCCAACTCCTGGATGTCATGAGTGGAGGCCATGACTAAACAATTACGATTTGCCTAGGAGAGAGACAGAGACAGGAGGTGGGGATAGGGTGAGGTGGGTGACAGAGAGGATAAGGGTAAAAAATAGGTCAAGGCTTAATGTATGTGCAAAATTTGCTCTATAAGAGTGAGACAAAGACTTTTACCAAATCTATTCTGCCTGTGGTCACAAAACCATCCAACACTTTGCTTTAATGATGACCTGAGATGCACCTTCCTTTGATTGTTGTTGGAAAGAAACCAGCACCATTGCTTTCCATTAAATAAATAGCTATATTCAAGCAGGAGTATCACAGTGTAAACCTCTTCGTATTTCAAACAAAGAAAACACAGCCTCAACAACATCAAAGGGGCTATCATATGGCGTAAGAGTTGTGCCACTGGCCAGAGCAATTTGATATTTCTTTTGAATTTGAATTGTTTGCTCTGACTTTGAAGGTGCACTGGTCAAAGTGAAGCTATGCCTTGAAATTTTGTATTTTTTTATTTTTTTGAATCATCTACAGTTTAAAACTTAAAATTCAGAATTCATATTTTCATTTTATTTGGCAAGTCGAACATCTGTTATACCATACTAGAAAGCATGGTTACCATGCACAGCTGGGCTGCACGCACTTAACTTGGGCACGCACAACACTGACATATTTTCACCTTAATTGGTAAATATGTTGACAAACAGTTCGCGTATTTACACGTCAAGCAGGCACGGAGCAACCTTACCATTAATTTTTTTTGTTTCTGGCCACTTATTACTCCAATATACACTCTCCATAAGTTTTAGTCTCCACCACCTCCTGTGGGAAATATCTGACTCTTTATTTGACCTACTATTCATCCTAAAATATTGATGAGAGCAGCTTTAAAAGGTTCTCAAAGAAAATGAAAGCGAAAGTGTTTCACAGTAAATGGTTGGTATATTGCACCTAAAAAGTAGTAGATTTTTTAGGCGTAAACAGTTTATTTTTGCAGTTTTCCAATAGATACAAGTATGGTTTGAATATTTTTGCACTGAAAAATGCGTGTGTATGTACCCACATCACTGCCTCCATGGTGCTGATGAATTATGATATTACTAAACAAATATACATTATACTGGAAGGGGACATTCTGAGGTTTAAATAAAAAGACTGGTATTGACCAGATATAGTGACAAACCAATGGAAATACAGCATGCTTTTTTTATAGTATATTGTGTTGTTCAGTGACTGTGTAAAAGAGTTGTACCTTGTTGATGGCAAAGGCTGTGATGATGTCCGATTCCTTGTGGATGATGCGTGCCTTTCCTCCGGGGGAGCCCTGATCTGACTCAGTCTGTACAGAGTAACGAACAAACGCACACAAATCACCACCATGGAGATTCAATCATTACACTTTACGTTGGTAAACATTTCCCACAGACAAAACAGTCATAACATCAGATACATTTCCCTTCACGCTACAGAACCAATGACCTGACAATATCCATGCGAAGTTTGATAAATGAAGTGTCGAATGATTTGCTGTAGAAGATAACAGAGCTGATGGCTCAATCTAACTTACTTTTGTTGTCTACACTACATAATATGTACACTCTATATTTATGTGCTTGTTTGTCTTGGCCTTTCAGGGTTAGGAGAGGACATGAGAGTTGCATCAGACCAGTTAACCACAGCCGCACGCAGACCTGGGTGAGCGCCATTAGACAGTATGAGCACATCAACCCTTGAGCGATGAGCACAAGCGCACACTGTACCATAGAGGTCCTATGGGATGTATGCAGAGCTGGCTATACTGTGGCTCTGCATATTGTATAGAGATGTTACATTTTGATGCCAATCTTGCTCAAAATGAGACAGACATCCTTTGAGCATGAGATTGAATTAAAGTCTTTTCTGCATTTATTCAAGGGGAAAAGACCATGTCTTTCTCTGTCAGATGGAATAAAGTAAAACTTGACTTGCAGTAATCTAAATATGGTGGTTTGCCATTTTCGCGAAGCACATAATCCCTGTGGGACGCAGATTCACTGCGACAGTGTTGGGCCCATTAATCAGAAGCTATTCAGCTTCATAGCTTGTCCTCTGAGAGTCTGGGTTAATTAACACTGAGCCAAATGGAGTAGCTACAACGTGGCAGCTTGCACAGTGAGAGCCAGATGATTAGAAAACCTCTACGAAGCATCAGTGTACAGTGCAATTTAAGATTTATGGCTCATATTCACATGAATATTTAGACAGCTAAATGTAAGATTAATATCAAACACTGACGGGAACATACAGACTCAGACCAGAAAATACACGTATTGTACTTGTGCAAGATCACATTTTAAATGTTTATTTGATTATATGTGACAGGCCACATTTATTATTCTACTGTAGGAGGCAAATGCATGTTCCCATATCTAATCAACAGGAGAGTCTGTACCACCCACACTACAGTACGGTGGTGTGAAGTATGTTTCATAAGGTTTCAAAACATCTATACAAAGTAAAATATGACTTATTAAGTGGCCTTCACTGAAGTATTGTTGTTAATAAATAAAAAACACACACATGCAACAAAAACTCTAAGATAAAACAATGCCATTTTCTGCTGCAGGCTGGTTCTTAGAAACTTTATAATTTATAATTCAGAGTTTAGTTACCAGAGAGCATGAATAATCGTATACAAATCTGAATTACAGTTTTAGCTTCTACAACTGATCAAACTTGATTTTGGTGTGCTATTGACCCACTGATCTTTCATATACTGTGAAGAACTCTGGTGAACTGTGTGACCAATCATACAGGTTTTAAAATCACACCGATTTCACTTTTGTTACTACTACTATTATTGTTATCTATACTATAGTATTTTCTGCAGTCTTCATGTCACAGTCATGAAGCCCCCTAGATATGCTTTAATGACATACTACAAAAACAAGAAAAGGGCATGGTTTAAAATTACATTTTCAAGATTATAATCGCCCAGACCCTACCACAAGAAAGTCGGTCCCACCCCTAGGGCTGGGCATTGTTTGAGTTCAGATATCAGTGCCAATACCTTACTTTACTGAATGTAATACTTCATAAAAACAAGAATTTTTCGAAATACAGTACTAAATTTGAATACATATTTTGAAATTAGGCAATATCTAATCAAAGAGTTAATAAAAGTAATTCAATAATTTGGATTCTTTTCAGTGCTTGGTCCAATGGACACATTTCGGTCAGTACTGACATTTGGACCCCAGCCCATTCCCCAATAACATGAGTCAAAATGTATCTGAAGCGGCAGTACCTTATGGTTTCCTGTCTCCTCCATTCCTGAATATTTCATATTGTCAGTCTGGTCCTCACCCGACTTTAATGATTGGGGAAGCAGCACAGGGTAGTCACGCGCACAAAACACACGCAACACACAACAACAACAACCAGTGATGAACCATGCAGTCAAACACACACAGGAACTGAATTATTGTGCTGTTAATCAAACAGGGTGTAATTATTTAAATAAAATTACAGCATTAACATGCAACTGGGGGCGGTAATAATACATGTGGTTGGCATGCGGAACAAGCACAAGCGTGCCAACAGGGATGTAAAAGCAATAATGATGCAGTTTGCCTGGAGGTAAATACCAAGACATGTTGTGGATTTTATCATAACAAAATAGTTAATGTGTTATTCAGTGACAATTATTACAATGCGCTAGCTGTGCAACATAGAGACAGTTCATGCAGTAGGTTGATACGTTGTAAACTAACTGTACAATTGTGTACCTCATTCGGGTCCCGTTTCTTGGTAAAGATGTGTCTAATGAAAGTCTCCTGCACTTCTTCCTGCTTGACCAGAAACTGCCACAGTCGCTTCACTGGCAGCGCTGATGGGTGGCTAGTCCTGAAAAGAAAAGAACACCTCCTGCATATTAACACTAATGCTCATTAAATCACGTGTATCTGTTCACTGAAGCACAATAAAATGTGTTAGAAAATATTATTTCTGATTTGGGCCGTTGGTGCTGTCCTGAAAACTCCACATATCTGGCGCTTAAGGCAAAACACATCAAATGTACATACAGTAACTGCTGTTCCCCAAAGAGCAGTAAATCCCTACAGTACGTACTGTACAAGCCATGCGGAAATCTACAGGGGTCACATCAGCTGGAGGGTATAACTTCTTGAGGAACAATTTCTAAATACATTTTACTGGTATGGATGCGTAGTACACATACAGCTGATGCTGAAGGCAAACTAATCAACTGAACAGCATCATGTTCATATTAATTCAAGAAGTTTAAAAGCTGAAGCACTAGCATAAAGCATAGGTTAATTACTTTGTCTACTCACAAACAAACCTGTTTAAGGCTTTGCGTGAATACAAACATGTACATCCCCAAACACACTCAGACTGACTTAGTCTGACTGATAATTTTTTTACTTGAGTTAACCAGCTCGTGATGGTACCTGAACGGGGTGTTGGACGGTTCATACAGGGCCTTGTGTCTGAGCAGAGCGGGACCAGGTGTGGCCGTTTCATCCTGGAGGTGGGTGAAGATGTACTTGGAAGGGGGGCCCCCGAAGATTTCCAGCCTTTTCTGCAGCACCTGCTCCCAGCGCTGCAGCGTCTTCAGCACAGCGTGACACAGAGGAGAGCCCACAGGCAGATCTGCGTTAAATAGAAGCATGCACACACAAGCAGGCAATAAGATTAGCAAAAAACATGCAGGGAGAAATGGGGCAGCACTTATCTACTTCCTGGATGTTAGTACATTGGAGGGTGTGTGTGGTGTATTTTTGTGTTTACCTAATAGATCATATCCTGCCATTGGGTAAAAGGACTTGAGGTTAACCAACACCAGCTGAACCATTGCCAGACGCATCAAACACCAACTGGGAGGAGAAGAAGCCATCAGAAATCAGATTACAGTTAGAACATAAATGCTCTAAGTGGTTACAAATTTGTCTTCAAAGGAACTGGGGCTATATAGAGAAAGACACAAACAGCTGTTAACACATGCAGGTTTACTCTAGGCAGCTTGAACTGAAGAGAAGAGGCATTCTTTGCAGTAATATCCACTCAGCGCTGTGTCATTACCTGTATGAATTGTGATTCGAATGCTCTCTTTGCGGTGAGTTGGGGTCAAACACATCTTCATATTCATTATCATCATCTTCTTCGTCTTGACTGCCCTGGCTCTCCTCCGAGTCATATTCAATTCTGCTTTCTGATGGTGGCAGTGAAGGCTGAAAGACCAGACATAATAGCAAAAATAAATAAGACAGAAACACACGCAAAAAATCCTTTTTTTTTTTTTCCTCCTTTCATTTGCTGTCTGTCACCTTAAGCACGTGTTGAGTATTATAGCAGATAAACATAGTTAGATTATTAAGTTGCCAGCATGAGATATTAACAATAACATAAGCCTTACAATATGTTATAAATATAATTATGCTGTTACACATAAACACTGCTTATGTAACATCCCAATGAAAAGTCAATACACTTAAGGTAGACTAATAAAAGAAAGAAAAGGAGTGGATATGATTTAACAGATTTTTGGGAGGTAGTTATTGATTTTCTGGATTACCTTGGCAATTAAGTAATCCCAAATGCTGAGGTCTGGGGGGACAAATCGTTCTTTAAAGATGGAGGTAGCTTCTTGTTCGAACAAAGGGCCATGCTTGGGACTGTAAGGGCCCTCCCGCTCTATCCCAGACTCCTCTCTGGATCCACTGCGCGATGACAGAAGCCTGAATCGTCTCGTCTTCCTGTCTGAGCCGCTTGGTGAGGCTGAGTCGAATAAAAGTGTCAAAAGAAAGCGTCTGTTAAATTTTTAAAACTTTGGTTTCAGCTGCTGTTCAGGACTCTACCCACTCATGAATTTTCAAAGCTTTAAATATTGAAATATCTTCCCAAAAACAGTCATTCAATATGTCTACATTCTGTTCAATAAATAGGAGATACAGTTGCATTACATCAGGTTTCCTCTGCCAACCATGAGAGAGTAGCACAGACAGGGTGTGAGGGAAACAGCTCCCACACTAATAGGTTGATGGATTTCACTATGACCTAGAGACGGGAACCCAATTAATTTAGCAGGACTGAATTGATTTAGCTACTGGGTCACCTCCAAAAGAAAAAACCCCACACGGAGAGACAGCCACTCAGGCCAAACTAATCCCTACTAACCTGGTGGGGGTGTTCTTGATGGGCTGTTGGGTTTCTCTATGACAGGGATCCGGGCGCCTCCTCCGAACACCGTCACCCAAAGATTGCTGTTGAGGGGGTGGGCCATGATGCGAAACAGCTCGTTGCTGGAGTGAGTGGCCATGCCGTGAACAAACAGACTGAGGAAGACAGCAGTCAGGATCTCACAGAGCAGCACAGCTAAACCTGGCTGGCTCTCCTCACCTGCTGAGTTCAACAGGCGAATCAGAGAAGTGATGCCTGGAGAGAGGGATGAGAAGAAAGATAAGCAGGGAAAGGACAGAAGAGAGACAGATAAACAACATTTGAAGAACCATTTAAACTGTGTAAAGTACAAGGACTGCAATTTGAATAGCTGTCCACAATATTGAGCTTTCTAAATAAAATATCTAATGTAAAAAATTACATTGAAAAAAAATTAAAAATTAAAAAACTTCACAAAAAACACACCAGGCCACATTTGGATTTAAAGAAACAGAAAATAAGACTTATTTATAAACTGAAACTGAAAGGTTTAATTAAAGCAAAACCCTGAAAAGATGGATAACGTGCAATACATCCCCAGTTAGTTACAGGTGCAGGACAAGAATCAGCATACAAAAGAAAAGGAGAGGTTGTCCACGTACTTAAAAGTTTTTTTTTGTGCAACATTTTGACCTAAAATGGCCTTTTTTTTTTTATTTTCTCACCTTGTACAGACAACTTCTGCCTCGATAGTAAAAGATTGACAATTCTCTTCTATTAAAAGACCAAAACCAACAGTGAATTGATTCTACTAACAAGCATTGTCTGTGTTGTCAAATCCTAAAATGACTTATTTTTCTGTGCCGAAAACCTCCATTGATGTCCAAAAACGATTAAAAACACATCAAAGAGCCATTGTTGCACTGGGTGACATGTTCCTTCATTATAATGAACATGGGCACTGTAGTTTAATTTGACTCAATCCCAGATACACCATCCTGCTGCTGTAAAAACTCACTAGAGCACCAAATATGTATTAATCCAGAGCTGAATATTGTCCCTGGCAAATGCACAGTTTACTGATGTTTGAGTAACCTTTGTCAAAATCTACAGTTCCTAGCTTTCTAAGGAAGTTACTGAGCCTTTAAATAAAATGCAACTTCACATTCATGATCTGTATCAAACAATTTATATCCTCAGTAGGAATTGACCTGGAACATTTAGCTTGGAGCTGAACGACAGACAAAGCAGGGAGGTTGGCAAGTAATGAGAGACTGACAAACACATTGTTGGTTTGGGAATTTTACTTGTCAATAATACAATAAAATGTAAGAATTTAAAAAATGCGTTGTTTCTTTGAATTCAGGGAGAAAATGTGTTTGGTTTGCCTGATTTACCTGGCCATTGTCCAGGGGAAGTGTTGGGCTGAACAGAGTCATCCATGCTGACGGTTCTGACTGGCTGCTTCTGAGACAGCAACACACTCTGATACACGATTCCTGTGAAATGGTTCACATGGCTGTGGGAGATTCAACAGACAAAAGAAAGCAACCACACACGGTCAGTACGAGGGCAAAAAACAAAACATTTATATTAAACATGAAATGCTGGACTGAAATTTGAATTTTTTAAAAATGGGTTATGTGGTGTAAATATATAATGTCTAAATGTTTACTTTAAATGTTTTAACTTTGTTCTGAAATCTGGGATGATGTTTTTAAGTTAGCTGCAATGCTGTCAAGCTTTGTTCTGTCAAGACATGAAATACTAATGGGCTGCATCGCAGGTTACCCTATCTATGCTGTTTGGTAATGGAGAAGAAACGAGAAGAAAGAGAAGCGTCAATGCTCAAGTTTTCACGTCAAGTGGCTTTTCAAAACATGCACACAAAAAATCTTGGATGGTTGCGGAGGAAATTTTTACAGAGAATATGAAATGCTTAACCCACAAAGGAGTCTATTACGTTTCTAACATCCAATAAGTCCCTTTAAGCTTCTGTGAAAAACCAATTGCCTCCACATCAAAAAGAATTCAAAAGTCAAAGCAAACATCATTCAGAAGGAGGAGCGGTAGTCACTGTGGTCTTAATGTACTTCTAACAACACATTTACTCCAACACAACTCTTGTGCTTTCAGGCTACATATGGATTTACCTGTTGACAGTCAACTAAATTAAACTAAAGTTCACATGATAACAGAGAGAGTAAAAAGCAGAATGTACATCAAAATACTGTCAACTTGGCAGCAACATTCAACTCCAGCAACCTACATCCTGAAATGCCTTTTAAATAATTCGCACACTCTTAGACTCGCTCTCTCGCTCACACACTCAAGAGGCAAAAACAGAAGCGCAATTTCATCAAACGTCTGCAGCGTCACACCAGGAGAGTTTAGATCATAATTACCATAACAAAGACGGTGATAAATTAGAAATAGCTTTGCTAATTTAGTTAGACTGTTCAGCTAACAAACAGTGTGTTGTAGATTGCTGTGATGTGAAGATAGAAAACCAAGTTCTCATTTAATCACATCACTTAAAGTTGTGTGAGGTTTAAAATACCAAGGTCAGAGAGTTTGCTGTGAAAGAATAATGAATGTTTTTTCTATTAGCTTAAAACCCCCCTAAAAAACTATTTTTTGACAAATTATTTATCTGATACAAGCAATTCTATCTCTGGGGGCACAGCGCTGTGGCTTTAAAGGTCCCAGTCTGGTCAAGCACAAGTAAAAAACTATTCTGTACAACATCAAGCATCAAACAAGCAATCTGGCAGAACCATGACAGGAACTCACACAGCAGCACAGCTGTAAGCCAAATGGGTTATTAAAAAAAAAAAAAGGAAAAAGGAAAAAGTCTGTCTCTGTCTCTCTCTGTCTCTCTCTGTCTCTCTCACACACACACACACACACACACACACACACACACACACAACTCACACACACACACACACACACA